CAAGAGACACATGCGTGTAGAAGACATGGATGACGATGGACATGGGCAGAAGACAACGATGAGGACGAAGGACGCGATTAAATGATGATGGACATGGGCAAGGAGGGGAAGATGATAGCAAAATGAATGTGCGTAAGGAAAGCACAAAGACGATAGTCGTATGAAATTTGGTAGAATTAAAGAATGTAATTTCGCCTGCCATGGTAAACACAAGTGCCAATTCACCTGGCAATCGCTCATGTTTGCAAGTGCACGCACTACTTATTTTAAAGGAGTAGTGCTATGCAACGAGGCAATGGAGGCATGAGGAGTAAAGAAAACGTAGAGGAGATTGCACATCAATGGCCAAGGTCTAATTACCCACCCTTCAGTGCTAAAGCTAACTGGCTACTATGCAAACGTGATGACAAATGGATTAAAGTGCTGGGAAGGCAGGCAACTAACATAAATCCTGTTTCACCTCCTCTATATCCGCTCCGTTTAATGATAAAATACTGCAGAATTTGGCCTCCGCATTTTCTTTGTCAAAGCCCTGCTGATCCCTCCTACATCTTACTTTCACGGCTAAGACTACACCCTTCAACACGGCATAGATGATTTAATCGCCAGATAGGATGTTAGTCTAACCAGAATCGCCTCGGCTGTGAGAAAGGCAAAAGAGACTAGAACCCCGTGTTTATTGTTTTTTTTTTTAAAACAGAAGCTCTAGAGGTAAGTGCTTAGGCTTTCCAACAAACCGTCTCCAAATGCTTGTCAATTGGAGACGAGCGGCGCTTTTTAACACTCACCACCTCTGCTTGAGCACCTCGGCTACTGGGGAGGGTGGGGGCCAAGGTCGCGCGATGAGGCCATTTCAATCCTGGTGGTCTAAAGCGTGAAATGTGTAAGCGCATCCAGCAGGCAGCAGCTCAGGGTGCCACACTTCTATTGCAATGCATTCTCTTCCAGTCGGTGCCTGCACCAGTCCTGGCAAACCACAAGTCTGCTCCAGCATCATATCCCACCGCCTTGTCATTACTGAAAGTGGTGATGTCGACAGGTCTGCCATGGTAGATGTTCGCCTGTTCATCATCCTGCTATTCACCAGTCCTCCACCCCTCACACTTTGCTGTTTGTACACGTAAGGATACTACAGTCTTCATTATTCCCATCTTCTTCAAATATCTCGCCTCATTCACCTCAGCACCATTAATTACCGCCATCATCATCATCATCACCATTCATCCCTTCCACAAATTCACTTTCCGTGTCTCTTCATTCGCCTTATTTTTGCAACAATCACCACAGCTTATTTCACCCTCAGCGTGGACACCATCGATGGGACAGCCGATGGCCTTGCGAATATCTCCATCACGTCAAACCCCAAAGTCGATTTTGCCAGTTATGTACTCATGGGGAACATCACACCAACTTCTATTTCCCAGTAGGAGAGCAGTCAGTCCTACCAATGACAAAGAGTGAAATAGAGAAGGTAAATTGTTATTTTCAGAACCACAATACATGAGGGTCACTCCATCCTGGAAAATGCGTGGGTGAATGAGGCCTGCAACAATGGTGGGAGCAGAGCTTTGCAGAAGAGGATTTGCGCCAAGTGCAATGGTGCATGGAAGAGGGACAAAAGTGTTGCAGAAAGTGGATCCATGCATGCGTGTTTGCATAAAGTGCAGGAGAAGGGATGGTTGTAGGGGTGGACAATGGGATGAGGGATGGATGGATAAGTGGATGACAGCAGGCATACATGGATGTGGGATATATGAGCGAATGGATGGACAGATATGACATGGATGGATAAGGAATGAAAAGCCAACGCGATTGACTCACTTCTGCACATTCGCCAACGCACTAACCACCGAACCTTATCCCTTACACATGCTTCAAATCCATTGAAGCACGCCGGATTTCCAGATTATTCAGACCACACTCCCCCTCTATCCAACCAACTACGTCAAAAAGAAGGCATTTTCCAGATAAGCCTGATGGCTGTGGTGCCTCCTCATGGTATGTAGCAGGTACAACGGTAAGGAGAGCATAGAGAGGGAAGAGGAGGAACATGTACTTATTACATCAACGGGTATTGAAAGGTGGTCACAGGTGGATAAAATTTACGTGAGAGAAAATCCTTGACTGGTGGAGAGAGAAGGTTTCCGTGGATGATGAAAGACTTGAGGAGTATTGTTGGACATTGATTTAATCACAGTGGAAAAGTGGATGAAAATTTTTAAGTGTAGGTAAGGATGGATGGATAGAGAATGGATTGGTGAATATCAAGATAAATGGATGAAATAAATGAATAAGTGGATAGAGAAACGGGTGAAAGGATGGATGGAAAGGGGGTAGATAGGGGAATGAATGGCCAGATGGATGGCTGAATGGATAGAAGGTGGAATAGGTGGATATTCGTTTTCGATTTTTGCGAATTTGGCTTGCACCCAACAACTCTCAACGCTTTCGCCTCGCCAAATCCATCTACCCCCAAACCAAACGCCTTCCAGATTGCATAAATTACGCTTCATCACAGCCCGGCCAACTATGCTGAGACAGAGCACTCCGCGTACATCTCTTTATTCTCCTTAAGGAAACAGTAGTAGAATCACCAGAATGTTGCCGGAAATTAAAAGAGTCGAGGCTAGTCAATTGGTGAAACAATGCTTAAGAAGGGAACCGAGGAGTGCAGAGTTCTCTCCCTCCACTCAGTCACTGTTACTTTGTTCTGGCATGTGCCTATCCTGATCTCCATCTTATCCGAATCAAGTGCACGCCTCGTCCTCGTCGCCACATCTTACATCATCCTCTTATTCATCTCCAGTCCTGTCCGCATTGTCCTCCCATCCATCGTTTACTACCTCTCATTCTCACCCGCATACGTCTTTCACATCGTATCCATCACAATCGGGTTCACATCCATCACCGTCTTCTTCACGATTCTACACATCTTCCAGCCCCTCTCCATGATCCACGTCTCCTTCCTCCTCCACTTCTGCACTCATTAGGATTCCCATTCCGCCTTCATTTTGCCAGTCATCACAATGTGCTGCCTCACCATCGTGAACATTGTCGTCGGTGGAACTAACAACGGCGTTGAGAACATTCTGATCACGTTTCTCTATCACTTCAATGCTGGCAGATATACATAAAGATCATGCCTCACTCCATGTAGTCAGGTGGGTGTTGTGTTGGCACAAGCAGCAAATACGATGGCAAGGAGAACAGACTGGAGGTGCAGACCACTAGCCAACTGTTGATGAAAGGCGGTCACATGTAACTGGATTGTGTGCGGGTGAATGCATCTTGGCAGACGGTAAGAGTGGATTTCTGTGGATGATGAAAGACCAAAGGCACATTGTTGGTCGGTGGTTCAGAAGCAGTGCAGTTGAGGGCACATGAAATGAACAACTGCTCACGATTAATGGTTATGGAGATGGAGATGCAGATGCAATGCATTTAGTTAGAGAATGGGATGGCATGATGTATAAGGAATGGATATATGCGAATGAATGTTGCGATGGACACTGTAGTGATGTATGATGGATGCACAAATGAATGTAAGGATAGATGCGGATGTGAAGAGATAGATGGTGATGGATGAATGTGGAATAGATGAATGGGTCTTTGGACATGTACGTGATGGAGGCAATCGAGATAGGTAAGATGGGTGGATTAATGAAGGCAGACGCGTAGTTAGATGGAGTTGGGATGGAAGGGTTGGATGTTTGAAGCAATGGCTGGAGAGTGGATGGATAAATTGAAGGGTGGATGGTAATATGCTGGCTGGTTGTTTGTACAGTTGAATAGATGGGTGCAGATTATGAGAAAATTGCCTCAGCATTGCCATCCTGACTGCAGGCATTGCAATCACCTCTTCAATTTGGTCACCACACATCCTCTCCTTAACGCGCACGTCT